CGGGCACAATCAACACGGGACAGGTAGGCTGAACTCACAGCTTTGATGGGAGAGACTAGCCTGAGAGAAAGGCCTGGAAGTGTTTTAAAGGGCTGCATTACCCTCTTCTCTTGTGTGATTTTTGTCTCCTGAAAGAACTGGGATGAGGAGCTTTGACTCTTCATCAAATTACACAATCTGTTGAGCAGAAAAAGTGAGGTCTCATGTAGCTGTTGAAGTCATTTTGTCTCAGTTTGTAGGAAGGGCTGGCCTGTGGTCACACTCCTTGCTGGCAGTGTGACCCGTTGGAAAAGCAGGTGAGTGTGGACCAGCAGACATGGCACTGGGTGTCTGCAGAGACCAGGGCATTGCTCACCTGTGGGTTCCAGTTAGACAAAGTCCTTCCTCTTGTTTCTCCTCATGTCTGCTGTCATCCAGGGAAACTGTGTCCTGCAGCAGTGCTGGGCTCATGGTTTTCCAAGGCCAGCTGTCCCTCCTCCAGAAAGCATTAGTAATTCCTCTTCAGCAGGTGCCCCTGAGCAGACCTTGTGTGGTTTCTTAAACTGTCCATGCAGAATCAGTTCCAAAATAATGTATGGAGCACTTCAGTAGCTCTGGCCACAATAAAATTTTCTATATTCTTTGCTAATTAGTTTCCTCCTTTCTTTTGCAGCAATTGCTGGCTCTGCCCCATTGTTAATCCCCAGGCTGTTTGGTTCACTTCTCCCTGAGCCTCTGGAGTCCCAGAAGGGCTCAGTGCTGTAATTGATGTGGGGATGACAGCAGTCCCTTCTCCAGAGGGCCTTTTGGGTGTTAGATGGGAGTGTCTTCCCTGAGGGGTAGGGATCAGACCATCTTCTCCCTAAGCTGTGTACCCCAGCCTGGTTTTGGTGCTGGAGCAGGATGAGCACCAGAGGGAGGAGCCCAGTCAGCCCTGCACTGTGCTGAAGAAAGGCTGCTATGCTCTTTGGGCTGAGGGGAACTGGGTTTCCTGTGCTATGAGATGTGCAGGCACATCCTTCTGCTGCCTTCAGCTGGAACATTTGCTCCACTCTGCTGAATAACTCAAGATTGCCAAATATTCAAGGCTGTGTCTGTGCATTGGAGCAGCTGGGTGCTAAGCCAAGAGCCAGGTTCCAGCAGGATGGGCTCCCAGCACTGCCAGTGTTGGACTCTGATCTCCTAAACCTCAAGGGCAGCAGGATTGTGTGTGCCACATGGTGATTAAAATTGGCTGGGGTTTATATTTTTGCCACAACCACATCCAAAGAGCACTGTTGAAGATACGCAGTGAACCCAAGAGTGAAAATGGTGAGGCTGAGATGGTTTTAGCTCCTGGACTCTCCTTCCCAACCTTGCTTTTGTCCACTTGGGCCTTGAATGTTGATACCCTGCAAGTTCAAGTGCCAATGGCATTTCTGCTGCTCTGCATGATGGGTGTCCAGAGCAGACTTGTGGCAGTAAGTAAAAGGAACATTGAGGTGCTGCTGCAGAGTCCAACGTGTGGGCAGAGCAGTCCTGACCTCAGCACTAGAGGGTTGCAATGACCACAAGCTGCAGCCCAAGGCCATGAGAAAGCTGGGTCAAGGTTCTGATAGCAGAAGTCCTGATGCTTCAGCTCCCCATCACTGCAGATACATTGAGGTCTGACATCCTCAAGCACTTTCTCCAGCACTAAATAAAAGGTTTTTGCCAGGGTGTGAACTCTCCCATCAGCTGGAGGCAGTGCCCTGGACCAGCTGTTTCCACCACGAGACACTGTGGCTTTCTATTAGGAAGAAGCAATGATTTGCAGGATGACAGCTTTCCACAGTCCTCTGAAATCATGTCATGGTCCCTGGCCACTGTCTGGCAGCTGTGCCAGCCCCTGCAGTGCCTGCTCCAAGCCTCCACCTTGGCATGGGATACATGTCGCTCTTACTTTCATCTTTGAGCCAGGCTCGAGTTTCTTTGTTTTGTCTTTGAAGTCAAGGGGACCTTCCTTTGGGAAACGATTTTGTAGGAGTCTTTTCCTGCACTGCTTTTGACACATCCTGAGAGCATCTCAATGAGCTGCCTTGAGTTGCAGGGTGGGCAAAAGGAAGCTGCTGCCGGAGGATGGAGCTTTTCCCCCGGTGCCGTGCCCGGTGCCGTGCTCGGTGCCGTGCCCGGTGCCGTGCTCGGTGCGCACCGGCACGGACACACCGGGGCCGGTCCCGATCGCTCCGCCCGGCAGCCGCAGCTGAGCCCCGCTAAAGCCTTGTGGACACGCTGTTGCTGGGGTGACCGTGTACATATTGCACAACCTCCGAAACACTTCCCTCTGTTTTGTAGCAACTCGCGCTAGAGAAGCGGCGCTCCCGCATAACCTCATCCCACCCCAGCCACGGCCGAGCCAGACTCATTCCTGAAACGGGCTGAGCGCCGGGAGCTGCGGTGCCCAGCTCGGGGGAAGCGAGGGGCACAGAGGATGGAGCGTGCTCGGAGGTTGTGCTTGTGCACTCGTGCAAGCTCTGAGCTGTGTCCGGAGCAGTCACGGCACCCCGAATTCTGTGTGAGGGTGGGGAGAGGACACAGTCTCAGCAGGAAGCAGCTCAGCTCGGGGATGCAGCTGTGTGTGAACCTCGGTGTGTCTGGGGTGAGCGCTGGAGTGTTCGGCTCATTATGTCCCTGGGGCAGGAGGCAGCCTGGGAACATCCTGACCTTGATTAGAAGGGAAAGGCCCCCGGCGAGCTGAGCACTGAGCCGTGTGCATGCTCCTCCATCACATCACAGGACCTGTGCAACCTCCCTCTCAATTCCTGCCCGTCCCGTGGGCTGCGGACCAAGTCACAGCCTCCTCCGGCCTTCCTTTTCCGGGCTGCATGAGGAACAGCGGGAGCCGGCCAAGGACCACGCTCCATCCCAACAGGGCTGTCATGGTGACAACAAACGCACAACAAACCCCAGCCCTTCGGAACTGAAATATGACCTGCTCAACCCGACCCCGTGGGCAACTCACCAGCCGGGGCTCAGCACCCCCTTACCCGGCTCTCCCCGTGTGGCTCCTTGGCCTCTGCAGCCCCAGCACCAGCGGAAGCTCCTAGAGAAGAGCTGCCCACATATCCAACTTCTCCTCCACCTGCTGCTGGCTCGGAGGATCCAGACTCCCACGCTGCCCACAGCTGCCAAATCCTGCTCAATACTCTTATCTATCTATACAGCTGATATTACCTGGCTCCTGTCTGGAGCTGTCAGCTGGAAGCAGAGCCAGACACCTGCTTTAGTGAGGAGCTGCAGGGCAAGTTAAGGATAAGGCTGTACCTTCATTAAGGCTTAACCACCCTCCTCTGTGTGGCAGTAGTTATTCCCTTGCCCTTAAAACAGAGAGTTTACAGCTCCTCCCCACCTTCTGCAGGTGGGGTGACATCCCTGGGTCCTTGCTGGCCTGCAGAAAGGCTGGTGGAAATTCCCACTTCACAGCTGGGCACTGTCAGCTCTGACCCTCTGCACTTTGGATCCTGCTCTCATATTGTATAAGGAGCAGGATGAATGTGTGATCAGGAGAGTCCTTCTGGTGCCACCTCCTCCATGTCGCTCCCAGGCTCTCTGGCCGTGTCTGAATTCTACCAGGACCAGCCAGAGAGAGGAAAAACACTAGGAGAGAGCTGCCTGAACTCTGGCAGCAGGTGAGCCTCCACACTTGCCCTTCCCACTCTGGACTGTCCCCTCCAGGATGTCCTTGCCACCCTGCCTCTGGCTGGGCTATGAAAGGGCAGCTCCTGCGGAGCCACTGATGGAGGGGCCACAGGGTTGGTTGGGGGCATCATAAAGTGGGGTCCTTCATGTGTCTGACCAGCTGGGCCTACCCAAAGTGGCCAGGGGCTGTGACACACCTGGGGCCTCTGCCACCAGCCCCGCCCTCACCTCTGAAGTGAGAGGTAAAATTAGTGATCCCAAACTCCCAGAGCTGGCTGGTGCTTACCTCTGGAGGCCTCCAGACCCTAATCCAAGAGAGAATCAGTGTGATTGGGTTGCTCATGGCTTTGTCCAGTCAAGAACTGTCAACAGTGTCCTAGGAGAGAACAGGTGGGGGAGGTTGTCACTGGGGCTGTGCCCCACAGCAAAATGCTCTGGGTGCACAAGCAGAACTGATGGCCTGGGACAGCTCAGCCATGGGGACGCCTGTATTTGTCCTTAACCTGTGGCTTCTCTGCACAGGGACCAGGGCAGACAGAGTGCCAAAGACTGATGCTTGAGCTGCTTCCAGCTTCCCAAAGCTGCTGCTATGTCCACAGGACCCCAGGGCAGCAGCAAATCCCACACTGTGTGTCCTGGCTGTGCACAGCTCCTGCTGGTGCTGCAGCTGATCACCCACGATGCCCTGCACCCCCCGAGCCATGCCAGCAGGGCCCTGGGATCAAAGCAGGCTGTGGGCAAACAGCTGAGTGAGTAAGAGATGTGGGTTGTGTTGGGGCTCCATGACAACCACAATATTTGGGTACTGCCTCAGCTCGCAGCACCCACTGGGAGCCCTGAGTGTGGTCATGCTCCGGGCTGCCGGGGTGGGCAGTGCTGGCATCTGCCTGCTGCAATGGTGTCACACTGGGCCACAGGCGCTCACCACGGTCCCTGACACACCAGAGGGGTTGGCATTGCCTCCTCAGCCTGGGCATAGGTTTTGGTCTGTGGTGCCACCCCCCAGGTTCCTCTATGGGGGACACGGTGACTGTGTGGGGCAGGGGCTGTAGGGTAAAGCACAGCAGGGCTGCCAGGGGGAGCCTGTGCTGAGGGGGTGGTGGAGAGACCTTGTGCGTCTATGGGGGTGCCAAACGAACCTTGTGGGACAACTCTGGGGCTCTGTAGGGTGATGGAAAGACCTTGTGGGGTGTAGGAAAGACCGGTCAGGGGCCGGTAGGGTCTCGTGGGGAAGCAGAGAGGCTTCATGGGGAGAGCGGTGGAGAGTCCCAGAGGCGCTCCGGGTGCGCTGCCCGGGCTCCGTCTCCCCGCCCCGGGGCGCTCCCGCCGTGCGGGCCCGGGGGGCGGGCGGGGGCGGCCCGGCCCCTCCCGTGCCATGGCGGCGCCTTAAACGGCGGCGGCGGCCGCCCCGCCCGCCTCGCAGCGCGGCGCCGGCAGGGGAGCGGGTGACCGGGAGGTGAGTGACCGAGCGCCCGGGGGTGCCCGTCCCCTCCGGTGCACGGGGAGGGAGAAAACCCGGGGGTCGTCGCTGCCCCGGCATCCCGCAGCCGGCTCCCTGCCGGGGAGAGCCCGGGCTGGCGCTGCGGGGCCGTGCGGGCCCGGGGCTGCGGGAGCCCGCGGCAGGACGAGGCCGGGAGGCGACCGGCGGCATCCCCGCCCCGCCGCGCCTCCTTAGCGACGGTCGCCAGGCAACGCCCATCCTCCCTAGCGACGGTCTTAGGGACCACTCCCCGGCCCTCGCCGAGGCTCCGGGGCTCCATCCCCGCCTCTCTTGTCCGGGCACCCATCGGGTGAGGTACCCGCTCTGCACCTCGGGGTGCCGGGGAACCCCCTGGGTGCTGGAGCTCCCCGGAGCACGGCCGTGCCCAGCCCTGGCTGAGATGCTGGGGGTGCTCGGCGCGTGGTGAGGGATGCTGAGCCGCCAGGGCGAGGCTGGCGAGGCGATGGCAAGCGGGGATGGGGCAACAGCAACGGTGCCACCACGGGCTACAGAGACTCGTTGGCTACTTGTCACCCTGCAGGGCATCACGCTTGGTCCAGCCCTGGGGCAGGTCAGAGGGCTGGGGTGCTGCCAGCCCCGCACAGGGGGATGGAGGCAGGGGAGAGGTGGGGCTGGAGACAGGCGGCGGTGCCGGTTCTCCTGTTGTGCGAGCGGGAGGAAGGCGGACGCATTGCGTCATTCCCGGAGAGCACTCCCGAGGGGACAGGCTGATGCACTCACTCCCCGCCAGCCCCGGAGCCGACAGCCTCGCTGCTGACAGCTCTCGACCAGGAGCCTCCGCTCCCCAAAACACGTTCTTGGCTTTCGGCCTCGGGGCTCATCCGAGCCCGCTGTCAGCCCTCACCCCACGCCCACAGGTGCTGCCAACACCCCGATCCTGCTGCAGAGCCTCCACCCTCGCCAGCCTTCCTCCTCCTCCTCCTCCTCCTCCTCCTCCTCCTCCTGCTGCCCTCGAGGGTCTCCGAGCAGCCAGCTGAGCTCTGCCCTGCAGCCAGCAGGAGTCTGGGTGTGCCGGGCCCTCTGCCCCCATCCTGCAGCCCCATGGCCGGGAATGCTGAGATGGCATCCCTGGAAGAGAGCTTCCGCAAATTCGCCATCTACGGTGACACCAAGGCCACGGGGCAGGAGATGAACGGGAAGAACTGGGCTAAGCTGTGCAAAGACTGCAAAGTCACCGATGGCAAAAGCGTCACCAGCACCGACGTGGACATTGTCTTCTCCAAGGTGAAGTAAGTGACTTGGATGCCTTTGCAGTATGGGCAGGGGGTGGGGGTCCCCACAGAGCTGTGCTACCTCTGCTGTGTGCCCAGCTGTCCATCCCACTTGTCATGGAGCTGTGGGCGCTGTCCTGCAGTGTCCCACTTCAGGTGGGACATGTGGCTGCTTCTGCAAGACCTACTAATAAATCAACCCAAATCTGGGGGTGAGAGGCCCAGATTTGGTGCAGAGATTGTGCCCCTGCTCCCACTCCAAGAATCGGGGTGGGTGTGGTTGGCTCGGCCAGGTTCCCATCTCTCAAGAAGTGCCACAGGGAGCAGAGGAAAGTGCTCAGGGCTGTCCCATGTGATGTGGCCCTTCCCTGGGCCTGGCCAGCCAATGCCCAAGTTTGGGGAGGACCATGGTCCGTGGTGATCACAGGGGCAGCTTGAAGGGCTAAAAAGCACCTGGAATTGCTTTTAGGGTCCGTGAGGACACAATGATGCCTCATACTCCACACCAGGGTGTGGGAAAAATGACAGGTGGAGAACCTGCTTCCTCCTTGTGCTCTGTCCAGGAATTCCCATGTTCGGGGTTGGGTCAGGTGGAGCTGAGCACTGGGAGGTTTTTGGGGTGCAGAAGAGCAGGTTGCTGTGCTGGCTCAGAGATGAGGACCAGGAGCTCAGGGGAGAGATGCTCTGTGCACATCCTTCCAAATTTGACTGGAGGATTGATTGATGCCTGCCAGGGGAGAGAGTGTGGTGGGCAACCCAGGCAGGCAGGGAGCAGTGGGAGTGGATGCCACTCCTCTCCTGACACCAGCACCAAGTCCTAGAGCACTTCCATGGATCCTGGTGTTTGATACTGGGGACTTCAGCAGCGTGTGGCTGAAAAGCTCCTGAGCTCAACACCAGCTGTGCCCAGCCCAGCCCATTCAGCTGTAGCTGAATTTCAGAAGTAGGTGAGGGACTCGAGGGTGGAGTAGGACAAAGTCAGGGTCTCTGATGCATCTCATCTCATCCCATTTGGAGGCATAACCCAAAGACGTGCTGGTGGCAGCCTGAGTTTTGTTCTTGCAGAGGGAAGACAGCTCGTGTCATCAACTACGAGGAGTTCAAGAAGGCGCTGGAGGAGTTGGCCCCCAAGAGGTTTAAGGACAAGAGCAAAGAGGAGGCGTATGAAGCCATCTGCCAGCTGGTGGCAGGGAAGGAGCCCATTAACGTGGGTGTCACGGTGAGTGGGGAGCCCTTGGCTGTGGGAACAGGAGTGATCATCAGGAGGGGAGGATGGAGCTCTGCCCACTGTGCAGGTGCTTTCTAGGAGACCCCATGGCCCTGGGTGTGGGGGGGACCCGAGGGTTTCACAGGGCACAGGGGGCACAGCAGAGGCTTTGGTGGGTGTCAGGAGCTTGTGTGGGGCGAGGGATGGAACTTGTGTGGGAAGGGGATGGAGCATCTTCTTGTCTCCCATGTCCCATCTCCCCACTGCAGAAAGCCAAGACAGTAGGAGCCGTGGAGAGGCTGACGGACACCTCCAAGTACACGGGCTCCCACAAGGAGCGCTTCGACGAGAGCGGCAAGGGCAAGGGCAAGAGCGGGCGGGAGAACATCGTGGACAACAGCGGCTACGTCAGTGCCTACAAGAACGCGGGCACCTACGACTCCAAAGTCAAAAAGTAGGGACGGTGCCCGTGGCGCCACCGCCCCGGTCCCTGCGCGCCGGCCGTGGGGTCGGTGCCAGCCCTGGGACGTGCCCGGGCTGCCGGGATGTCGGGATGCCCCCGGGGGGAACCGGGGAAGCCGCCGGGCCGCGTCCCACCTGTGCGTGACCCCCCGCCCCTCCCGTGTCCCCCGTGCTGTCACCCGGCCCCACACGTACTAACAGCGCTGCTCCTCAGGGCTCCCCTGCCCCGCCGGCACCCAGACCTTCCCTACCTCAGCCCCGCCTCTGGGGCACCCTCCCTCGTCCCACCGGGGACCGCCGCCTGTCCTGCCCTCCCGGGGACCTGCCTTAACCCCGCCGCAGTCCCGCCACGGCCGCCTCCTCCCGCCGCCCTCGCCCCGAGGCTGCCGGGCCCTGCCGCCGGCCCAGCTCCGCGGGAGGAGCCGCCGGGATGTCCCCGGGCCAGCCCAGGATGCGCCCCGGCAGAGTTTGGTGTCGCCCGGCCATCGACAAAGGTCTCCGACCTGAACCCCCGTGGCCTCCCCGCTCCCTTCGCGAAGCCCAAACCAAAGGATGCTGCAGGCCCGCGCTGTAACCGGCTCTGCAATAAACCCCGTCCGCACTGACTCCGCTCCGCTTGTGTTCCTGCCCCGGAGCCCCTCTGGCCGCTCGCCCGGCCGGACACAGGCGGCTCGCCCGGCCACGCCGCCCCAGGGCAGCTGTGCCGGGGGCTTGGCCCTGGCCACCGAGGATTTTGGCAGCTCCTGGCTGGCCCCGAGTTGCCTGAGCAACCGCAGGCACACAAACACGAGCGCCTGGCTCCCACTCCTGCTCTGTTTGCAACCAAACACACGAGCTCCTGGTAACGATCCCTGGGAACAGGCCGGGCTCCAGGATGGGCCGGCAGCTCCGGGATGGGATGGGCACTCCTGCGAGTGCATGAAACTGCTGTCGGTGCCGTGACCCCGGTGCCAGGCACGGGCTGAGCCTGCTGCAGTGCTGCTGGGGTGGCAGTGCCAGCACCTGCGGCTGCACATCCACCTCCAGGGTCATCCACTCAGAGCCAGGCTCCCTAAATAACCCACAGGGCTTATTTCCACTGGCGCTGCTTAGGACATGAGGGATGTGTCAGGGGCACACACGAGGCTGGGACAGGCTCACTCACTGCCAAGGCACAGCGCTGCACCTCTGCATCCCAGACACCTGCTTTGGAAAGCACAGGGGAAGGAAGACATTTTCTTCCAGGCTGGATTCAGCCCCATCCTCAGTGTGGGTGTACCAGTAATAGGCTGGGGGATGTTAACTGGAGGATGTTAACTGGGGGATGTTAACTGGGGGATGTTAACTGGGGGATGTTAACTCTCCTTTCTCCTCTGAGCGGGTTGGAGGGAGTTTGTGGCTGTCTATCCCTAAAGGCTCTTTATGAGCATCCAAAGTTTCTTGAAGAATTGTTGCTTATGAAGGGAGAGGCCGGGGGACTTTAACCCTCTGCTGACTCCCTTGCCCAGCTGCACAAATGAGCTGCAGAATCCCCAGGGCCAGGCTGCCCTGCATGCCTTGAGGTCTGTGGAGGTGACTCAGCCCTGTCCTTGGAGGCTTGGCAAAGGAAGATTATTTTGTGAAGAGGTGAGCAGATCAGGCCCCACAGGACTCATCCCCTGCCTGTGTGGCCCTGGTCAGGACCTGGTTGTGGAGCACAGGAGCTCCCATGAGGGGACAGCTCTGCAGGGGAGCTGCAGGTGTTGATATGTTTCTGATACGGGGAAATCAAGACTGGGAATCACAGAATCCTGGAACTATTTGGGGTGGAAGGTACCTTAAAAACCATCTCGTTCCAACCCTCACACCGTGAACAGGGATTCCAGGTAGTCCTAAGCCCTGTCCAACCTGGCTGTGAATGTTTCCAAGGAATGGGGCATCCACACTTCTCTGGCCAGCCTGTGCCAGGGCCTCCCCGCCCTGCTGCTGAGGTGATGCCACTGCTGCTCAGTGATGGCTCATCCAAGGCAGGACTGAGGGATCTCCCAGGACAGCCACCTCCATCAAACAGCCTCCCCCTGCTCTGAATCCTCAACAGAAGCAGCTTCCACAGCCTGTGGAGCCCTTGCAGAGCTCAGGTAACAGCTCCCAGCTCCCACGTGCTGCCATCCCCTGCAGAAAGATGCTCCTCCTCACACACTCCAGCACCTCTTCAAGTCCTTCACTGCTTTCTTCACAGTTTACACAGAATTTCTCCCCTCCAGCCTTCTTGGTTCTCAAGGAGGCAGCTCCAGTGCACCCTGTTCCCAGAATGGAAAAGGCATCTCAGTCATGCCAAAGCAGGCCCAGGAGAATTTGTGCCAGTAAGGACCAGTTGGATCTGTTGGCTGTAAAGTGTCCCAGACTGGCCTGAAAAAGATCATGTCCTCTGAAGTGACGGGAACAGCTTTCCTTGAAGAGTAATACATTGATCTGGGTCTTCACCAAAAAGGGGAATCTTACACAGCAGTGTAATGATCTCCTGAGAGTTGCTGGCTCTGTGGGTGCATGTCCAAGGCTCCCCCGTTCATCCTTGCAGGAGGAATGCCTGAATGCCCCTTAGAAACAGCACCTGCACTACTGTGGCTGTGACTGCATTACAGATTCATCCCACAGCTCCTCAAAGTGGTCGAATCCAGGTGGAGACACAGGTAAGTGCAAGGAACAAACACCAGTTTTCCTGAGCAGTGTAGGCAGGAAAGCAGAGGTTCCTGGAGTGGCTGGCAGTGGAGCACAGGGCTGACAAGGAGAGGCCAAGCTGGATTGCTCAGCACTTGAGAAAGCCAAAACCTGAAGAAATGTCCACAGGACCAGCAGGTCCAGCTCTTTTTCCAGTGCAGCTTGAAGTGGTGCCACAGGCTGCTGAGACCTTGAGGCATTAGTTGCAGATCTACTCTGTGTGATGAAAAGTGACACTGCCCAAACCAAAGGGCCTGCAGCCATTTCCTTGTGCTAATGACCTTCCCCTGGCCAAGCATCTGCTCCGAGCTTGGCTCCACACAGCCCAAGGCAGACACTTTGCAGCCAGCCTGGAATTCCCTGGCAGCAGAGGAGCAGCAGGAGGAAGGTGGCTCAGCCAGTGTTTGTGTGGTGTGCATTGGTCCAAGCTCCAGACATGAAGATATTTTCTCCTTCCCACTTGTCTCTTCCCCTTGGCTGCTCTCTGGCCACGCTCACACAGTGGAGAGACATTCCAGATCTTGTCCCCTGTGCTGCCCTGCCACCAGAAACTGCCACCTCCTCTGGCTTTTAGACAAACCCAGACTCTCTTACAAGGTGATGTCCCACCTTGCCACTGAGACGTGCAGCCCAGATGGATCAGCTGTAATTAATTTAGCTGTAAAATGTGTTTTCTGCCCCAAGGTCCCTTCACTAGAGAGCTTCTAAAATCTTCTGGGGTCATGGCTAATGTGCTTCATGCTTTGACAGCAAGCTGTGTGCTGGGGATGAGGGAGCTGGCTTCTCTGAGAGGTCATTATTCTCTAGGATGAGCAATTTGACCAGAAATACTGATGAGGATGGATCACTCTGGTCCTCAAGGACATAGATTTGTTCCTAGAAGAGGGAGATAGTGGATACCAATATGCCCAGGGAGGTTTTACCCTTTCTGTCCCTGTGCAGGATCACCAAGAAGAGCTCATATGTTGTCCAAACATCTGCTCCCCAGGGAACATCCCTCCTGGGATGTTGGAATCTGAGGTATTGATGATTCCCAGATTGTAGGAAGTCTCTGTCTTTCTGCCCCGCTGCCAAAGCAGAAGCCATAATTCGTCTGTGCTGGTTTCAAGGTTGTTTATTCTGTTTATCTCTAACATGTTCTGCTGCCCTGCCGCAGCTCTGTCCTGCAGGGCAGCGTGTGGGGCTCTGCCCTCAGTGGGATGTTACAAACATTAAATACCAGAAACTACCTGTGCTGGATTTACAATAACGTGCCAATATCTGTCACCTACGTTGGACAGTGTGTCCCCAGCCTGAACCAACAGAAAAATGCCAACACCACAGTGAAACATGGAGGGCATGAAGAAGGAGAAAAAGGACAAGACACACCCAATTTCCTCCATCTTGTCCCCTCTGAACCCCTAATCTAGAAACCTAAAATTTTACTTTTGCACCCGTGCCACACTTAATTATTACTCTTATCAAACACTCAGAGCTTGTAATTCATCCTGTAAGATTGAAAACTCTTTTCCATGGACAGAGATCACAGACAGTGTCTCTGGGGGCTCTGTCCAGGGGGGTTCCTGACCCCTGCCAGGGTCCCAGACCTGCCAGGGCAGCCAGAGGGGAGCTCTGGATTCCCACTCTGGATTCCCACACTGGGAGGGCACTGTGCTGCTGCAGAGCAGGTCCTTGGTCTTGGGCCAGGCAAAACACCTTCCCTGTGGGGCTGTACCTGCCCTGCTTCCTCAGTACTTTTCCATTTCACTGCTAGCCTGATGGACAATGTTTTCCAAAACACACAGACGAGGCTGTAAATCGTGTTCAGACACGATTCAGAGTGCAGCTTTATCACCTAAACCCAACACTTGAATTCAAGCTCCTCCTGTCAGTGCCCTGAGATGGGTTTGACCACGTGTGTTCCAGGCAATGCTTCAGTGCCAGCCACGAGCTCCAGCCCTGTGCTGGAATATTGATTCAGAACCCTTTTAGATGGAATTCAATTAACTAAATTACCATCTTCCCAGCATGGTGTGGTTCCAGATAAAATGTTATTATCCAGGGCTCATCCCTGCATTTTGTTAATGTAATAACTGCAGCAGAGTTGTGAGAACACAGCAGGAGATGGAAGCAGGAAGATGCAGAGAAAGAAAACAAAAGGCAAGGATTGGATTCGCCAGATTTAAATACAAGAGATGTCATGCAAGGTAAAACTGAACAAGTCCATATTTAATGTCTGTTTTGTTCCCTGCACAGAGCATAATTCTATAATTGCTCTGAACTCCAGAACCACCCAGAGCTGTGTGCACAGCTTCGCAGGTGTGTGTTGCACATCTTCCTAGTGGGGATGATGGTGCATTTCTCATCACTGGTGCACTTCTCAGCTGGTAGAGAAATGTTCTGGGAACAGGGTGGCTGCTCTCTTTAATCAGCTGTTGTAGCAGGATGGTTTGTGGACAGTAAAGACCCAGGCAAGATTGTTGCAGATAAAAGATTAAATGATAAGCAGGCATTTGGGAGGGGGCACCTGCTGCAAGGATTTTTCCAAAACTGATACACTGGTTTCATCATGGAACTATAGAATGTTTGGGACTAGAAAGAATCTCAAAGATCCTTTAATTCCAACTTCCTGCCATGGGCAGGGACACCTTCCACTGTCCCCCAGGCCCTGTCCAACCTGGCCTTAGACACTTGCAGGGATCCAGGGGCAGCCACAGCTTCTCTGGGCACCCTGTGCCAGGGCCTGCCCACCCCCACAAGGAAGAATTTCTTCCCAATATCCAATCTAACCCCGCCCTCTGTCAGTGTGAAGCCATTCCCCTTTGTCCTGTCACTCCATGATTTGTCCAAAGTCTCCCTCCAGCTCTTTTGGAGCTCCTTTAGGGACTGGAAGGTGCTATAAGGTCTCCTCCTCTCTTCTCCAGGCTGATTTCCATTTATTCAAAATCAC